GGATTTTATCAATGCGGAGTATGAAGAGGATTATGAGGGGTTAGATGTGAGACCAAGTCAAGGAAATCAGTTGGAAGAATATCATGAAGCCCTGACTAAACTTTTCCCTGAATAGGATGTGCGAGTGCAGAGTACCAGGAAGGTTCCACCTAAAGTACGGTCATTTGGAGGGCTAGTACCAATGTCCAGAAGAGGTAGAGATCTCTCAGAATTTGCTACTAAAATACCTTTAACTCCAGCATATTGGATTATCCCTGAAGATGTCATGTTGGAATTGGTTATGGTATATGCCTATGTCCTTGAAGGATATTGTTATATGGTTATTAAGGAACAAAAAGGCAATAATTCCCTAATATCCTTCACATTACGTGACAATCGGGAACATGATCCAAGTTTGAACCCCACTGGGCAACTAAAGTACATGAAGAAATTATCCACTGGATGCAGCTGGATGTTAGACCCCTCGCCATTTCTTGGATATTCATCGTATATGTCCCCTGGGAATTTCAGTATGTCGGCCATTCTTCACCATCACAATCCTCGCACCTCCGTTGTCAAACTGTGTATATATATACTCCAGATAATCAGTACCACATTATGAATTTATCATGTCATCCTTGACTGCTAACACTATTATCAGTGTTCCACTTCATTGAGCCATTATGTTTTGTCTAAATTTTGTCTTTTGGATAATTCCGTTCCTATGCACGATGTCACTTGTACCGGGCAATTAACTATAGGAATCAACATCTCGGACTCTGGGAAATGGACAGTGAAAGTCCTTTTGAACTGGTTGACCACTTTAAGATTACTGTCTCTCCACCACCAAAAATAAGTTATATGGGACCATTTGTAATCAAGAAGGATGTCACAAGAATCGTCATGATTGATCCCCAGTTTGTCCTTAAATGTATAATCATGCCTGTGCAAATTTCCGTCATCCCAATGCATAGTACTTGTGCTCCATAGGTCATTCCCCTTCTCACAGGATGAATGTCTGGCTTAAAGGTATCTTGACCACCTCTATGTATTGAAGGCGTAAACGTGATCTAGTGGCAAAGGTCCTGGGTGGTGTAGGAGCCGGACTTGGAGTTTTAAATACAATAGACCAAAATCTATTGGCCAAAAGAATTGGGGAATTGGGCCATGATGGTTCGACATTATCTGAACCACTGTCTTCAGCCCTACTAGAGCTCGGCAAAACAGAATTTGACATTGTAAATATATTACCATACTGTCTTGAAGTACAAGAGCTGGACCACATCAGAGTATTAGGAGCCTTAGGAATTCTACAGTCAAATCTGTCACAGGCCTTTGCATGCGCTGAGGCTCAGCAGTGGCTCCTGGATATTGCCAAATCAATCATAAGAGATGGTTTCAGTGGCAATCTGCCTTTAGAACGTAAAAGAATTCTATGGATCAACTCAACAGACTTTGAAAGAACACATCATCAATGGTGGAAGCTAGTTAACTTCACCTATTTCCCCCATAACCATCCCATCATTGCCCTTGTCCTGACCTTCAAGGCAGCCAACCAGGAAGACATCTATCCAATTATACCTCTGGGTCTCTTTGCAAATAAGTCCTTACTGGTACCCTTGGAAACAAGTAAATGGGTTCATCTTAGGGGTAAGGAGTACAATGTGATTAATCTCCAGGCGTGTGAAGAACAGAAAGGATTGGGGTACACATGTACTACAGGTGTGTTAGAAGAATCACATGTATGTTTAAACACTAAATCAGGCATGTGCAATTATGAACTACACCATCATCCCCTAGTTAATCATTCTGCAGTGGTACATTTGGACAGACATTGTCTTTGCATTAGAAGCCTCTGACCAATGTTCATAGTTAATAAGTTTTATAAAATTAAAAACAATTTCACGGCCAACATTTGTCTATGTCAAATTTACGGCATAGTAGGATGTGATATCCAAATCACCCTACATGACACAGAAACAGAAGACATACATGCAGAGTATAAAATATATGATTACATTGAGCCAATACATATTGGAGCAGAATTGGAGGCTATTAAAAGGTTTCTCCACCATAAGCAACTAACCTATTATATTAACAATTTACAGACAAAGGGTTTAAAAACTCTAATCACAGTTCATCATGCAGTTGCTAGTATAAAGCGGGTGTTCAAGAAAATCAAGGACAAAACAACTCTTATGCACTGGTGGGAAGATATATTTAGCTCCAGTACAGGGGATGTGTGAGCTGCATGGGTTATAATGCTTCATCCCATTGTGGTGGTTTTGATTATCCAACTTGTAATTATTATATATGTGATTATCTTATCTGTGTGTGTATTTAGGCTCAAGAAATCAAAAAGGAGATCAAGTAATACAATGTTTGCATTATCTGATTTAAATGTTATAGTATGACCTGTTAATATGTAGCTGCTATTATGGATCTTATTTGAGTTGTAACATGTTTGCACTTTGCTTGTTCAAAGTATAATACATTATATATGGTAACTGTGCTGTTAACACTGTGCACAATTACTAAGGAGGGGATTCTGTTGGGATAATTGAAATAAGAAATAGAAAATGGAGTCTGTGACGTGACTTTGGAACTCCATCCTTGTTTACCTCAGGGGCACTGACTCTAAGCTAGCCCCAACTGGTCAGGACTGGATTTTCCCGCCTCTGGGCTCCGGACATTCCATCTGTTTTCCCGCCCAAATCCCTGAAGGTTCTATCACCTCAGACTTGCTTGGCGTTGCTATTTGGAACAGTTCAATTTTTCCTGCCTTAACATCTATAAAATACCGGCCCCAGCGCGGGTGCAGGGCTGTCCATCTGAGCGGCAGCAAGTGTGCGGTGCGGTACGGGTCTCATCGTGGTCCCGACCATGTGGACGAGAGTGACACCTACCCGAAGACACCGGAGACGGCATTCAACGCCTACCTTATCCTGCTGTTCCATCCCCGGAGGGCGTCTCTTCCACGGAGATCACCATCCCTCCGCTGGGCTCCTCAGAGTTCCTCCTTGACGGCTTTCCACTGGCCCGAGAGTTGAGGTCCTGAGCACCAGCACTGCACACAATTCAGCACTGGGCGAGGGAGGAAGAAATCAATCTCTGTTATAGGGCACTTGGCCAAGGGAGGAATTTACCTGGGTCGGGGCTTTATGCCCCATTGGAAGTCACTGTCGCTATTGTTATTGGTTGTAATACTGGTCTGCGTTTGTGATTTTCCCCCTTCCCTATCAATTGTATTCTTATCCCTAACACACATCTCTTTGCTTTCACCTGACTTACCCACCTCCTCTTCATCATACACCACACCATACCTGGGGTATTGGTCCACTGGGTGATTAGATACCAGAGTGGGTCGTATCTGCCCTTCTGAGAAAAAGGGGTATCCATTTTCTCTCCCTCTACCACACCCGATTTATTCTGAGTTACCTTTTCCCCCCTTTCAGGCAACAGCATTCAAACTGTTCTTAAGAACCAATTTTTAAAGTATAGTATTGTCCTTAACTCTGCTGGCCATATATTTCTTCTTGTATCCCCTTGCTTTCCTTATCAATTTTCTACAGTTCCTAGTTTCTGATTTATATTTATTACTGTCAGCTTCTCCCTTCTCCCCTTTGATATACATCATTTAAAAAAATATTTTATAGTTGTTTTCATGTGCCTTCTAAGCCAGGTCAGTTTTTTTTAATCACTATGGTCCCCTTCCTTGATTTTGGCTTTTGGGGCAACTACTGAAGTGTTTTTAAACAATTTCCAATTATCAGTCACATTTTTCTGATTAAATTCTTCCTCCCAGCTACTTTGGCTAATAATTGTTTTCAGCTTTGTGAAATTGGCCCTTTCACAGCACCAAGTAGAAATATTTCTGGTCTGGACTTTATTCTGTTTGCACATTATAAATGTGGTTGTCAGGATCACTTGTACGTAGACTACCGTTCATTTTCAATGCTGTGATCAGTTCCTCTTTATCATCCAAGACGAGGGCTAATGTACAATACTCCCATGCTGGATGCAACACTTTTTGAGTTAGGAAATTGTCATCTTTAATATGAAGAAATTCCAAGGACATTTAGTATTCGCAGCATCACACCGCCAGCATGTGTCACTCACATTGAAATCCCCCAGGATCACACAGCTTTTTTCCTACATTCTATAAAGAGCTGCATAAGGAGCTTCTCATCCTGTTCCTTAGTGGGATTTGGCGATCTGCCCCAGACACCGCTAACTGCTAACCCCTCATCTTGTGCTGTATCGGTTAGGACAGGGATCCATAACCATTGAAGATCATTTTCCACCAACTTGTTAGTGACTCAGAAACAAGTCTGAGACACTCTACTGATCATGTGCAAATGGCAATGTTCTGTACTTTATAATCTAGCCACATCAACGTGGATTTTCATGGCAAGAGGAAAAACCCTTCTCTTCCCCTAGCACAATCCCCCTGCCAAATTTCAATTCCAGGCTCCGAGGCATGGAGGCGCTAGAACTCCTCAACGAAATGCTCAGAAAAAATGGATTGCCCTGGAAAAAACTACCTGTGTTAATGCTAACCGTGTTCTCAGGAATGGCTTGACTTGTTTTTGCTGAAAGTTTACAAAAACATTCAACCCAAGGCAGAGCCTGAGCATGGAAAGTTCATCCCCGGCCATCCCAGTGTGGGAACGTTAGAAGCGATCGTGAATGGAGTTTTCATGAGACAGGCTCAGCAACCCCAACGTTCTTCTCATTTGCATTGCAGTTGTGGGGTCGCTGCCAGAACCCACTTTAACAAACTCATTTCTCAGCAAGCTCCTCCCCCCTGCTCCTGCCAGGGCTTTCCCAGCATCCTGGCTACTGCACAACACTGACCCCCAGAGGGGTCCCACCCCCTGCCGTGTAACCAATGCAAGGAGCCTCCTGGCCCACCTGAGCCTTTGCCAGGCAGCATCCTCTGACTCAAGCTGCAACAACCTGTCAGAGCCTCGAATCCAGCAGCTGGGGGCGGTGGGTAAATATTGTCCTGGCTGCGTCCCCAGCCCCAGCCAGAGACCTGACACGTCCCTTGTTTACCCCGGATCAAAGCGAAGCTCCAGCTCCATTAGGGCAGAGCAGGCTGCTCTCCAGCACAGAGCGTGGGGGAGAGGGAGGAAGAAGGACCCAGAGGGGGGTGACGTGTGTGTGTCCCCTTGTGCCTGCCCGTCTGCCTGCACCCCAGGAATGGGGGCCCCGGTAACCCCGGCCTGCCTGCTGCTCCTCCTGCACCTCACAGCTGGGACGTCTGCAGAGCCGTAAGCCCTGTCCGTGTCTGTCTGTCTGTCCGCGTGGTGGGCAGTGCGGGGTGGGGGGGTTGGAAGCAGCCGAGGGCACCGATGAGGGGGCTGCTCGATCCGAAACTGATGGGACAGGTCCGTTCTCCCCTGGGAGCTCAGTCCCTGATGCTGGATCCCTCCTGGGCCCCCCTGGTCCGGCCCCTCCAAGCAGTGGTGGAGGTTTTCTCTGGTTAAGGCAGTGGCTTGGGGGGCATGAGATCTCGGTTCAGTGCCCAGCTCTGTTACAGACGCCCTGTGCGCCCCCGGCCAGACACCGACCCTCTGAGCCTCAGCTCCCCTCTCTACCATGGGGTGATGATCCTCTGTGGCCGCCTGCTCCCATCAGCCTGTCACCTCCTTGGGCCGCACCCTGTCTCTGCCTGCGGGTCTGTCCAGCCTCAGTGCAGGGGGCCCAGCTGGGGTGGGCCTCTAGGCACCAGTGAAATAGAACAGTAATTATTGACGAACCCAGTGCGTTAAACGAACGTCTTAGCCAGAACAGGACAGTGCCCCGAAGGTGCAAATGCAAAAGGGTTCCTGCGAAGGTGGGTGGAGGCCCCGGGGTGCCGACTCGTCTGGGGGTGGGCGTGGGGTTGTATCTAAGCCAGTAACTGGCTGCAAAGGGCTCAGGTGCTCAGTACAGCCCCAGACTAACCAGCCTCCCCCCGCTGTGCACAGGGGTCTCTGCTCACTCTCAGTGCCACTAGCTGCCCCCTTCTGGGCAGACTGAGCACCCGAGAGGCCGGGGATGGAGGGGGACTGAGCCCCTCTCTGCGCCCCCGGGACCCCTCCAGCTCTGCGGGAGGCAGGCTGGGGTGGGGGATGTAGAGGGGGGGCCTTGCCCTGCCCCTGCCCTGTGGTTAGAGAAACAAATCAGTCTCCAGCACCGTCAACCCACCTCTGGCCCCAGCAGGAGGGACACTCAGAAATCGGGAGTCACCCCCGGTCCTGGGGGAGGCTCTGGGCTGTCCCCTCCCATCCCCTTCTCCCACTTCCCCCGGTGCTTTCCCCTCCCCAGGCACTATGTGGTGGTGAGCCCAGCCGAGCTCTACCACCCGCACACGGGGACGGTGTCAGTTCATCTCAGCGACCTCAACGAGACCGTCCGGGTGAGCGTCCGGCTGGAGAGGGTGGATGGGCTCAGCGCTATCACCCTGCTGGAGAGAGAGGTCCAGGAGCCCCGTCTGCACGAGAACGTGCGCTTCCAGGTGAGCCCCCGCCTGCAGCCATCGGCACGGCCCCGGGCACTGGCCATGGGTATGGAGCCCGTCAGCCCCGGGTCTGCAGCCCCAGCCCAGCCTCAGGCCCCGGGCACAGCAGGGCTCAGGGGACTGGCCATGGGCACGGAGCTGGTCACTCAATGGGCAGCTGTAGCCACAGAACTCGAGCCCATCCCTCAGCAGCGACAGGCAGGAGGGAGCGGGGATGGGGTGGTGGGTACAGAGAGCACCCTGGCTTCCAACTCCATCGAACGCCCCAGGTTCATGCTCCCTCCCATTCAGGGCCCCCAGGCTGGGGAGAGGGGTTCCTGTGTTTGGTGGGGGCCGGACAGGGACTCACAAACACCACTGCCCCCCCACGTGATAGCGGGTCTGCACCACGATCGGCCGGTTACCGGCCGCGGTGGCCTTGCTGGGGTTTCCCGTGTGCAGGTTCCAGCCCCGTCCGGGGGGCAACAGGAAGTGGCAGAGCTGCACGTCTCAATCCGGGGAGATGCCCTGCAGTTCTCTGAGCGGAAGAAAGTGCTGCTGCGGGCGCTGCAGCCCGGGACCTTTGTGCAGACGGACAAGGCCATCTACAAGCCGGGACAGACAGGTGAGAGGGCAGGTGCTGCTGGAGGGATTTTCTTAGGGCCCCAGGCCCTTGGGATGGATTCCCAGGCTCTGGGGATGGGATAGGGGCCTAGCGAGGGATTTGGGACTCTCACTTCTAGGCCCCTATCTGCACCCGGCCCCAGGGGAGAAGAGGCCCAAAGCCGGAGGCCTGTTTGGGGGGCTATATGGAACCAAGTAGGGGTCTCAGCCTGTCCTTGGTGATCGACAAAGCCCTGGCTGGGATGATTTAGTTGGGGATTGGTCCTGTTTTGTGCAGGGGGTTGGACTTGATGACCAACTGAGGTCCCTTCCAACCCTGATATTCTATGATTCTATGAAAAAAGAACAGGAGTACTTGTGGCACCTTAGAGACTAACAAATTAATTTGAGCATAAGCTTTTGTGGGCTACAGCCCACTTCATCGGTTGCATAGAATGGAACATATAGTGATGAGATATATATACATACAGAGGACATGAACAGGTCGGAGTTGCCCTACCAACTCTACGAGGCTAATTAATTAAGATGAGCTGTTATCAGCAGGAGAAAAAAACTTTTGTAGTGATAATCTAGATAGCCCATTTCAGACAGTTTGACAAGAAGGTGTGAGGATACTTAACATGGGGAAATAGATTCAATATATGTAATGGCTCAGCCATTCCCAGTCTCTGTTTAAGCCTAAATTGTTGGTATGTAGTTTGTATATTAATTCAAGTTCATCATTCTCTCCTTGGAGTCTGTTTTTGAAGCTTTTCTGTTGCAAAATTGCCACCTTTAAGTCTGTTATTGAGAGACCAGAGAGGTTGAAGTGTTCTCCTACTGGTTTTTGAATGTTATGATTCCTGATGTCAGATTTGTGTCCATTTATTCTTTTGTGTAGAGACAGTCCGGTTTGGCCAATGTACGTGGCAGAAGGGCATTGCTGGCACATGATGGCATATATCACATTGGTAGATGTGCAGGTGAACGAGCCCCTGATGGCGTGGCTGATGTGATTAAGTCCTATGATGGTGTCACTTGAATAGATATGTGGACAAAGTTGGCAACGGGGTTTGTTGCAGAGTTTGGTTCCTGGGTTAGTGTTTTTGTGGTGTGGTGTGTGGTTGCTGGTGAGTATTTGCTTCAGGTTGGGGGGCTGTCTGTAAGCGAGGACAGGTCTGTCTCCCAAGATCTCTGGGAGTGAGGGATCATCTTTAAGGATAGGTTGTAGATCTTTGATGATGTGTTGGAGAGGTTTTAGTTGGGGGCTGAAGGTGACGGCTAGTGGCGTTCTGTTATTTTCTTTGTTGGGCCTGTCCTGTAGTAGGTGACTTCTGGGTACTCTTCTGGCTCTGTCAATCTGTTTTTTCACTTCAGCAGGTGGGTACTGTAGTTTTAAGAACACTAGATAGAGATCTTGTAGGTGTTTGTCTCCTGTCTGAGGGATTGGAGCAAATGTGGTTGTATCTTAGACCTTGGCTGTAGACAATGGATCATGTGGTGTGTCCTGGATGAAAGCTGGAGTCATGTAGGTAAGTATAGCGGTCAGTAGGTTTTTGGTATAGGGTGGTGTTTATGTGACCATCGCTTATTAGCACAGTAGTGTCAAGGAAATGGACCATTTGTGTGGATTGGTCTAGGCTGAGGTTGATGGTGGGATGGAAATTGTTAAAATCATGGTGGAATTCCTCGAGGGCTTCTTTCCATGGGTCCAGATGATGAAGATGTCATCAATGTAGTGCAAGTAGAGTAGGGGTGTTAGGGGACAAGAGCTGAGGAAGCGTTGTTCTAAGTCAGCCATAAAAATGTTGGCATACTGTGGGGCCATGCGGGTACCCATAGCAGTGCCGCTGACTTGAAGATATACATTGTCCCCAAATGTGAAATAGTTGTGGGTGAGGACAAAGTCACAAAATTCAGCCACCAGGTTTGCCGTGACATTATCGGGGATACTGTTCCTGACGGCTTGTAGTCCATCTTTGTGTGGAATGTTGGTGTAGAGAGCTTCTACATCCATAGTGGCCAGGGTGGTGTTTTCTGGAAGATCATCAATGGATTGTAGTTTCCTCAGGAAGTCAGTGGTGTCTCGAAGATAGCTAGGAGTGCTGGTAGCGTAGGGCCTGAGGAGAGAGTCTACATAGCCAGACAATCCTGCTGTCAGGGTGCCAATGCCTGAGATGATGTGGCGTCCAGGATTCCCAGGTTTATGCATTTTGGATAGCAGGTAGAATACCCCTGGTCGGGGCTCTAGGGGAGTGTCAGTGTAGATTTGTTCCTGTGCTTCTTTAGGGAGTTTCTTGAGCAGATGGTGTAATTTCTTTTGGTAACCCTCAGTGGGATCAGAGGATCATGGCCTGTAGACTGTGGTGTTAGCTGCCTGGAGGCCTCTTGTTCATATTCCAACTTATTCATGATGATGACAGCACCTCCTTTGTCAGCCTTTTTGATTATGATGTCAGAGTTGTTCCTGAGGCAGTTCATGGAGTTGTGTTCAGCACCCATCGGCCTCCCCTGGCAGCCTCCAGCCACGCAGGGCAGGGCCGTGGCTCATTGGCAGAGGGCAGCGTGGGGAAGCTGGCGCTGCGCTGCCCGGGCTGGGCCCATTCTGCAGGTTCACAGAGGCCGTCACTGCCCGGGGCGTCCGGCTGGGACCTTCCCCAGCTGGGAATTCACTCACACAAACCAAGTCAGGGCTGATTCCCGCCTCTGCTCCTTTCCAGTGAAGTTTCGAATCGTCAGTTTGGACAAAGACTTCATTCCCAGTACCCGGAAGGTGAGAGCTGGGGGTGGGGGGTCGGGGGCAGGGTACCAGGGCCCTGGTGCACTGAACACGTTAGGTTTGTTTACACCAGGCAGGCCATTCATCTGGTTTGAAATCGGACAGTCCTCTCCTTGGGTGGTTTGCCCCCATCCAGTACATGCTTGTGTCTGGTATTGGATGGGGGGCACCATTTGGAAGAACGCACTGCTCCGCCCCTGCTGGCGTGAACTCACACACACCGAGTGTGCGAGGTCACGCCAGCGGGGACAGGCCCACACCATTCCTGGAAATCCCGGGATCTCTGGTATTCTGGGAATGCCTCAGCGGCCACCCTGGTCTTCACTGCTGCAGGGGGCGAGTCTCCCAGGGCAGGTTAACAGACTTGCAGTAGCAGGGCTTGTGCTGGCCTGCTGAAAACAGCCGTGTGGAGCAGCCCCCTGGGGTACAGAGCCTAGTGCCTTGGGCAGTGGCCTCTGTTGTTTGCAGTCTCTTTACTGCGCAGAGAGGGTTGATTGCACATTGCATGGAGCCGGAATGAGGGCGCTGGGCACCCACTGGCTTTAGTGCAGTCTGTGATTGGCTGTGGATGCCAGCCCCCTCCCTCTCCCGGGATGACAGTCATTAGCACCTTTCAGCCTAACCGTGCTGTGCGCTCTGAGTGAGGTGGCAGAATCGGGCCCAGTGTTTAAATACAGATTGACAGCTCCCCTCCCAGCCACCTCGCCCGGGCACTGGCTGCAACGCAGACCCCCCAGCCTTTAGACTGCCCCTTGGCAGAGACCCCAGCATCTCGCCCTGCTCCTCCACGCACACACCAGCCACCCACTGCCCTGTCTCCACCAACGCGGGAGGCGGGCATGGGAGGTGCGAGGGCTCCAGCCTCATGGACTCCCCTTCCTGTCCCTGCTCTCTGTCACCCCCACTGCTGTCCGCATGATCCCCCATGGCCCCAGAGACACCCCGGCCCTGGGGAGGTCACAGGCAGACCCCTGGACAGTGGGGGGTGTTTCCCGTCCCTCTAACCAGCCATCTCCTGTCTGTTTGCTTTGCAGCTGCCCCTGGTGACCGTGCAGGTCAGTCTGTGCCTCTCCAGCCTCCTCCTCTTCCTGTCCGGCTCATCCGAGGGCCCCCGGGGGTGTTCAGTCGTGGGGATCCCAGAAGAGTTTGGGCTGTGACCACAGTGTCCAGCAATCCAGCCCTAGACCCCTCTGCCCTGCTGTGGGGGTGCAAAGGGTCCCAGAGCACAGGGCATTTCTGGCTGGGCCACATGGGGGCAGGGAGGGGACATTTGTGCCATTGGGTTACGTCCTCCCCACCCCGAGTTTGCAGCGTCTGGGACTGTCTGTCCGGGAGGCAGGTGGGTTTGAGCCTGGCTGGGAACCCTGCCTGAGTCGCTCACCCCAAATGTTCCCAGCCCCCGAACTCTGGGTCAGGTAGTGACTTGATCAGGCCAGTGGGGAACTCAGCAGGGAGCTCCCTTGGGAGCCTGAATGGGGGAAGGGCAGGGGAGGAGGGAGGGTCTCTGGGAGCTGCAGGGGCAGAGGGGAGGGGTGGAGGTTTGGGGAGGCTGCGTGGGGAGAGGGGGGCAGGAAACATACCCACAGAGGCCTAGCACTGAGATGGAAACGGTCCCTACGGCGAGTTCCCTGGGCTTTGTCCAGGCTGGAGATGGAGTGTCCCTTGGGAGCCTGTTCCCCCCGGGGCAGTGTCCTCGGGTCAGGGCTGAGGGGCACTGGCAGGGGCCCTCTTACCCAGCGGCTGCCCGGCGGTGCCTGCTCCAGGCTAAGGAGAAGGATTTGAGCCCCCGGCGGTCGATCCAGCCCCCGTCGGCAGCATGAGGCACTCGGGGGCTGCCGGGGAGAAGCCGTGTGTGGGGGCAGCGGCTGAGCAGGGCGTGTCCGTTTGCCAGGATCCCAACGGGAACCGGATCGCCCAGTGGCGAGACGTGACTCCGCAGCAGGGCATCGTGGATCTGTCCCTCCCGCTGTCTGCAGAGCCGGCCCTGGGGACGTACGCCATCGAGGCGCAGGGGACGAAGCACTCGTTCAGCGTGGAGGAATACGGTGCGCAGCGGGGCCCAGGGTAGCGACCCACATCTGCCCTGTGCCCCCCAGCCCCACCTCTGCTCCTCCTGGAGCACAAGGGCTCTTCACACAAACACACCCTTCCCAGAGCTGGTGTTGCTGGGAGAGGGAGGGAAATGTCAATGGCTCCTTCTCCATCTTCTACCCCAAAAATAACCTCCTCTGGCTCCTGCGGGGGAGGGGGAGAGAAGAGCTCTGATGTCTCCCTTGAAACAGCTGCCACCTACCCCCACCCTCCCCCAGACACCCTGCCCTGACCCTCCCAACTGCCTCCCACCCCCCTGCCCCAGACACCCTGCCTGAGCCCCCAACTGCCTCCTACCCCCACCCTTGCCCCAGACACCTGCCACTGACCCCGCCAACTTCCTCCCACCCCCGGTTCCCCACACACCCTGCCCTTGAGCCCCACCCCCCCCAATGCTCCCCTCTTTCCACTGCTGGCCAACCGCCCATACCGCAAGCAGGAGGGAAAAAGCAGGCACCCCCGACTTCCCGCCCCACCCGGTGCCCCATCCCAGTGCTGCACATTCACCCAGCCCCAACACACGCTCCCCTCCTGGGGCTTCTGGGCCTCAGAGCCGCCCAGCCAGCTCCTGTCAGTGCCCCAGGACGGCCCAGACCCTGAGGGACAAAGTGCCATGGAGCAGCCCCCCGGCTTCTCTGGGCTGAGCCCAGGGGTGAATTTGGCCCTGTCTGGCCAGGCTGCCTGGCAGGGCCCTGCTGGGGACAAGGTCCCAGCCGAACACCAACTCCCAGAGGGAAACAGCCGGGACCTCATCAGCCAGGAGAAACGCCCATGTCAATGGGCCCCCATGGTCCCTGACGTGTCCCCGCTTTCAGGCCCACGTTGTCCCTGGTCTCGAGCTAGGGTGACCATACATCCCTGGCCAGAACAGTCCTTTTTTTTAAGCCCTGTCCCACTGACCCGACTTTTTTGGCTCCGACGGGGGGTGTGAGCTCTGGGGTGGGGCCGGGAATGAGGAGTTTGGGGTGCAGAAGGGGGATCTGGGCTGGGGTTGGGGTAGGGGGTTGGGGCACAGGGGGTGGCTCGGGGGTGCCGGCTGTGGGCGTTGCTTATCTCAAGCAGCTCCTGGAAGCAGTGGCATGTCCCCCCTCCAGCTCCCAGCCATGGTTCCCAGCCAATGGGAGCTGTGGGGGGCGGCGCTTGGGACGGGGGTAGCATTCGGAGCCCCCTGGCTGCCCCTATGGGTAGGAGCCGGAGGGGGGACATGCCGCTGCTTCTGGGAGCAACAAATAGCCACGGCACACAGGGAGCCTGCCTTAGCCCCACTGCCCCGCCGACCGGAGTTTTAACAGCCCGGTCTGTGGTGCCAACCGGAGCCTCCAGGGTCCCTTTTCGACCGGGCGTTCCAGTCGAAAACCGGACACCTGGCAACCCTACTGCTGCAATCTGCAGCCTCTTCCCAGCCCCGCTCCATTTCCGGGCCCTTCCCCTTCCTGCCCAGCCGGGAGATTGGGGGAGGGGGGGGCTGCAAGACCCAGGGAGAAGCTCCAAGGCCGAGGATCATGATGAAACCCCCGAGCCGGGACTGCAGGTCGGTTTCACCCCGTCCCTCTCTGCCCCCAGTGCTGCCCAAGTTCGAAGTGACCCTGGAGCTGCCCCCCGTGGTGACGGTGCTGGATGAGACGATCCTGCTGTGGGTGTGCGGCCAGTGAGTGTGAAACCAGCCCTGCCGGGCTGATAAGGGGGGGCTGGAACTGCCCTGGACCTTCCTCCCCCGCCCCCCAAGCCAGAATCTGACCTGCCCCTTCCCTGCCTGCGCCCCTCTGCCCCATGCTCATGGCCAGGCAGGGCTCCCTGGGGCTCTCACTCCCACCCACACGATGAGCCCCACCCCAGCAGGGACCTGCCCCCCATGAGCAGGGGCGTTGGCCCCCTCCCCTCCCACTTACCCTCTCCCTCCCCTCTGCTAAACAGATACACCTACGGGAAGCCCGTCCTGGGGAGGGTCCAGGCCAGCCTGTGTCGGGAGGAACAACCAGCATATCACGGGTACCATCTTCATGCCGAGCTAACCGGGGCTCTGTGCACGGAGCTTACTGGCCAGGTGAGTGCGACTGGGGAGGCACATGACATGCTGCTGGAGGAGGCTCCTCTCCATGTTTTTCTTACACTGGCCAGAGGGGGCGCTGTGATCTGCCTTGGTGATGTTGGTGACATTGGGGGGTGGGGACATAAGAGCGGCCAGACTGGGTCAGACCAAAGGTCCATCTAGCCCAGTGTCCTGTCTGCGGACAGTGGCCAATGCCAGGTGCCCCAGAGGGAATGAACAGAACAGGTATCACCAAGTGATCCATCCCCCATCGCCCATTCCCAGCTTCTGACAAACAGAGGCTATGGACACCATTCCTGTCCATCCTGGCTAATAGCCATTGATGGACCTACCCTCCATGAACTTATCTAGTTCTTTTTTGAACCCTGTTAGAGTCTTGGCTTTCACAACATCCTCTGGCAAAGAGTTCCACAGGTTGACTGTGTGTTGTGTGAAGAAATACTTCCTTTTGTTTGTTTTAAACCTGCTGCCTGTTAATTGCATTTGGTGACCCCTAGTTCTTGTGTTATGAGAAGGAGTAAATAACACTTCCTTATTTACTTTCTCCACACCAGTCATGAGTTTATAGACCTCTGTCATATCGCCCCTTAGTCGTCTCTTTTCCAAGCTGAAAAGTCCTAGTCTTATTAATCTCTCCTCATATGGCAACCGTTCCATACCCCTAATCATTGTTGTTTCCCTTTTCTGAACCTTTTCCAATTCCAGTATATCTTTTTTGAGATGGGTCGACCGCATCTGCACACAGTTTTCAAGATGTGGCCATACCTTGGATTTAAATAGAGGCAACATGATATTTTCTGTCTTATTATCTATCCCTGTCTTAATGATTCCCAACATTCTGTTTGCTTTTTTGACTGCCGCTGCACATTGAGTGGATGTTTTCAGAGAACTATCCACAATGACTCCAAGATCTCTCTCTTGAGTGGTAACAGCTAATTTAGACCCCATCATTTTATATGTATAGTTGGGATCTGTGTTCCCTGTAAACTGCGAGAGATGAGAATTAAGTGCCACCCAGCTAATTAGCAGAGCAGCCAGCAGCATGTGTTCAGGTGCCCCTCCCCCCATGTTGCTCCATCCTGCAGCTGCTCCCGGGAGCCGGGACCCTCCTGCTCGCTGTGCAGAGCAGGGGGGTGGGTGCTGATGTCATGGTGTCCCCCTTCCCTTGCCCCTGTACCCCATCTCCACAAAACAGGGCAGAGGGGACAGCCTGGCTCAGTAGGACTGGGATCATAGAAACATAGAATATCAGGGTTGGGAGGGACCTCAGGAGGTCATCTAGTCCAACCCCCTGTTCAAAGCAGGACCAACCCCAACTAAATCATCCCAGCCAGGGCTTTGTCATGCCGGGCCTTAAAAACCTTTAAGGATGGAGATTCCACCACCTCCCTAGGTAACCCATTCCAGTGCTTCGCCATCCTCCTAGTGAAATAGTTGACGATGAAACCATTACTCCTTGTTCTGTCATCTGCCACCACTGAGAACAGCCGAGTTCCATCCTCTTTGGAACCCGCTCCCCCCTTCTGGAAGTTGAAGGCTGCTATCAAATCCCCCCTCACTCTTCTCTTCTGCAGACTAAATAAGCCCAGTTCCCTCAGCCTCTCCTCATAACTCATGTGCCCCAGCCCCCTAATCATTTTCGTTGGCCTCCGCTGGACTCTCTCCAATTTGTCTACATGCCTTCTTTAGTAGGGGGACCAAATCTAGATGCAATACTCCAGATGTGGCCTCACCAGTGCCGAATAGAGGGTGTGACAATGCGGTTCTGGCGGAACCCAACTGAGAGTGCCAACTCAGGACAAATTGCTCAAACAGGGCAGTTACAGCCCAAGGCTGGGGTTTTTCCACCTCTAAGGCAAACCAAACCAGCCAGACTAAGAGGACTTCGGTCTCACCCCACTGGCTAACCGCAAGTCTCACAAGCAATCTCCTTACACACTCCAGTTTCCCAGTATTACCACCAGTGCCACTCGTTATGGGGACAAATGGTTATGAAAACCAACACCCCAGTAAAAGAAAAAGGTTCTCCTGATCCCAAAGGACCAAGCCCCAGACCCAGGTCAATATACAAATCAGATCTTACCCACAAATCACGCTGTTGCCAGTCCTTTAGAATCTAAAATCTAAAGGTTTATTCATAAAAGGTAAAAGATAGAGATGAGTGTTAGAATTGGTTAAATGGAATCAATTACATACAGTAATGGCAAAGTTCTTGGTTCAGGCTTGCAGCAGCGATAGAATAAACTGCAGGTTCAAATCAAGTCTCTGGAATACATCCCACGCTGGGATGGGTCCTCAGTCCTTTGTTCAAAGCTTCATCTTGTAGCAAAGTCCCTCCAGAGGTATGAAGCAGGATTGAAGACCAGATGGAGATGAGGCATCAGCCTTATATAGTCTTTTCCAGGTGTAAGAACACCTTTGTTCTTACTGTGGAAAATTACAGCAAAATGGAGTCTGGAGTCACATGGGCCAGTCCCTGCATACTTTGCTGAGTCTCAAGGCATATTTGCCTTCTCTCAATGGGTCCATTGTATAGCTGATGGTCCTTAATGGGCCATCAAGCAGGCTAGGCAGAGCTAACACCAGTTTGTCTGGGATGTCACCCAGCAGCATAGCATAAGTTTGAAATACAGACAGTATAGAGCCAATATTCATAACTTCAACTACAAAATTGATACACACATATAGACAGCCTAATCATAACCAGTAAACCATAACCTTGTCTTAGACACCCCATTTGACCCCCTTTATACAAGATTTGCGTGCCACTACCGGACCTTGGTTGCAACAATGATCTATATGGTCCCAGATTATATCAATAACGTCACAGAGGGGAATAATCCCTTCCCTCGATCTGCTGGCAATGCTCCTACTAATACAGCCCAATATACTGTTGGCCTTCTTGGCAACAAGGGCACACTGCTGACTCATATCCAGCTTCTCGTCCACTGTAATCCCCAGGTCCTTTTCTGCAGAATTGCTGCTTAGCCAGTCGGTCCCCAGCCTGTAGCAGTGCATGGGATTCTTCCTTCCTAAGTGCAGGGCTCTGCACTTGTCCTTGTTGAACTTCATCAGATTTCTTTTGGCCCAATCCTCTAACACTGATCTACAATTTTTGAGAAGTCGTCTGCTTCAGAGATAAAATGTGCTATTTATTATGTATTTTGATGTGCTGAATTCAAATATGACAATTAAAACAACTGATTGGCTACTGTTTCTAAAATATTTAAGTTTTTATTTTATGTCTATTTATATTGTGTAGATAGTAGAGTTTTAATCATAAATTGTAAACCTAGGTCTTTTCATGTGTTTATGGTTGCTTTACATGATAATATTTCACCTGTCCTGTTTATGTAACACTTTAAAAATCAGCAAAAGGGTTATATAAATAAAATTTATTATGAAACAAAAGGCAAAAAACTATTATGTACATAGTTTAGTCCTATTCAGTGTCTACTCGGCGCTTCTTGGCTTGTCTCTTGTATTCATTAAATGGAGGATCTCTTGTCACTGTCCAGCAATAGTCTGCAAGCATTGATGGGCTCCATTTGCCCTGATAGCGTTTCTCCATTGTTGCAATGTCCTGGTGAAATCGCTCGCCGTTCTCGTCGCTCACTGCTCCGCAGTTTGGTGGAAAAAAATCTAGATGAGAGTGCAAAAAATGTATCTTTAGTGACATGTTGCAACCAAGGCTTTTGTATGCCTTGAGGAGGTTTTCCACCAACAACCTGTAGTTATCTGCCTTGTTGTTTCCGAGAAAATTTATTGCCACTAACTGGAAGGCTTTCCATGCCGTCTTTTTCTTGCCACGCAGTGCATGGTCAAATGCATCATCTCGAAGAAGTTCACGAATCTGAGGACCAACAAAGACACCTTCCTTTATCTTAGCTTCACTTAACCTTGGAAATTTTCCACGGAAGTACTTGAAAGCTGCTTGTGTTTTGTCAATGGCCTTGACAAAGTTCTTCATCAGACCCAGCTTGATGTGTAAGGGTGGTAACAAAATCTTCCTCGATTCAACAAGTGGTGGATGCTGAACACTTTTCCTCCCAGGCTCCAATGACTGTCAGAGTGGCCAATCTTTCTTGATGTAGTGGGAATCTCTTGCACGACTATCCCATTCGCAGAGAAAACAGCAGTACTTTGTGTATCCAGTCTGCAGACCAAGCAAGAGAGCAACAACCTTCAAATTGCCACAAAGCTGCCACTGATGTTGGTCATAGTTTATGCACCTCAAAAGTTGTTTCATGTTGTCATAGGTTTCCTTCATATGGACTGCATGACCAACTGGAATTGATGGCAAAACATTGCCATTATACAGTAAAACAGCTTTAAGACTCGTCTTCGATGAATCAATGAACAGTCTCCACTCATCTGGATCGTGAACGATGTTGAGGGCTGCCATCACACCATCGATGTTGTTGCAGGCTACAAGATCACCTTCCATGAAGAAGAATGGGACAAGATCCTTTTGATGGTCACGGAACATGGAAACCCTAACATCACCTGCCAGGAGATTCCACTGCTGTAGTCTGGAGCCCAACAGCTCTGCCTTACTCTTGGGTAGTTCCAAATCCCTGACAAGGTCATTCAGTTCACCTTGTGTTCTGAGGTGTGGTTCAGAGGAGGAGGATGGGAGAAAATGTGGGTCCTGTGACATTGATGGTTCAGGACCAGAAGTTTCATCCTCTTCCTCTTCCTCATCTGACTCAAGTGAGAATGATTCTGGTGCATCAGGAACCGGCAGTCCTTCTCCATGGGGTACTGGGCGTATAGCTGATGGAATGTTTTGATAATGCACAGTCCACTTTTTCTTCTTTGACACACCTTTCCCAACTGGAGGCACCATGCAGAAGTAACAATTGCTGGTATGATCTGTTGGCTCTCTCCAAATCATTGGCACTGCAAAAGGCATAGATTTCCTTTTCCTGTTCAACCACTGGCGAAGATTTGTTGCACAAGTGTTGCAGCATATGTGTGGGGCCCACCTCTTG